AGAATAAACAACAGGATCTTTATCCGGAGTATTTTTATCATATACGAATACTAAAGAACAGTAATATTTAGAATCAGCTTCTTCCATACTATACTCTAAATTGTTAGCTAATACATAAGTTTTAAGGAATACAGAAAATCTATTATAACCCTCGGAACCCTCAGGAAATAAAGATAATAATTTTTTAATAACGAGAATAGCATTATCCAGGTTATTACCTCACTGAGGATTTACACGAGGAATAACACTAAAATTACTATTAATAGAGGGTTTTAGATTGATTATTGCATATTGCTCATAAACTAAAGATAATTGTGGAGTAGTAATATATATAAATTCTAAACCTCATTCTGAAGCGGGAGTTTTTGATACTTCCAACTCTGCTGAGGAGTGAGGGTTACGTAAACCTTTAGTTAATTTATTATACTCTTCCATTCTTCTAGCTAAGTTATTTGAACTTCCAATATAAAAACGACTAAAATCGTTTTTATTAGTCAATTTATAAACACCTGCAACTCCTATGTATTCAAACTTAATTTGTTCACATCCGGATTCAAGAGAATCAAATTCAATTGATTTTTGATTGTTAATTTCATCAATATTAGAGCCTCTAGATTGAGTAGAGTATTGACGACGAGACCCGCCTAATTTTGTTACCTTAGGACTCAAGCTACTGTTACTAATACATAATTTGCGGGTAACGCTTAGTTTAGATAAATAAATAGTGTTTATTAGCACAAAATTAATATTTGTAGATCATATCACTATCCTTAGTTACCTGACATAACATAACGTCAAATTAACGATAACTAAAAGAGGGATGATAAGTACGACCTCTTCTGTGATTGTTAATAAAATACTGTTTATGTCATAAAAGCCAGGACTCTCAAAGGATACTTGGCGCGTGATCGTTGAAGTTGCCTTTTAATAAAGGATTACCTGCTGATTGGGTATTACAAGTAAAACTTAAACTATAGATACAAGGAAATGCAAAAAAAATCTAAAATTTATAGTTTAATGCCTTTCCAGCAATTTACCAAGTTTTAAGGAGAATAACTCCTATTACACCATAATATTACTATTATAGGCCCCCAACACTCAGAGGGAAGAATGTTAGATTACATTCATGTGGACTATATCATGACCATTCTAAACTAATGGTTTGTAATGGCCTCTTTCGTGCAGTCTCTGAGGGCCCTACTAGGTTATATATAACCGTCGGTTCCCTGCTGGTTGTCTAGATATACTTAAGATTGCTACTTACCAATAACGGTCGAGTACTTAAGCCTTGTGAGAGTTTCCAGCAAATAGAAAGATTGGGAGGGGCTAATCTTATTAATTTTGACGAGGAGAAGATTGTATAATTCAATCTTCACCTTGTAAAGAAATTCAATTTTGAGTATCTATACTCTTTTTTATAGATGTTCATCTAACTTTAAAATGTTGCCTAGCTGCATTAATAGATGGAAAAATTAATTCTTCACCCTTTTTATTATAACAAAAAACAAAATCTCCCCCAATACCATATTGTGGAGAAAGTTTACCTTTTAGTCCTTTAAAAGGGTGACTATGTGTAAGATAAAATTCTTTAATACCATCACTAATAGCTTTTCTTGTTTCAGGAGAAGTAACACTACCATATTTTGGATTATTCTCCTTTTTAAAAAGCTCTTTTAATTTATTTATAGTTTCAATAGTATGACGGAAACCAGATGAACTACCTGCAATTTTTAACACATTATATTTAGGTTTATAATGATCAATTCATTTTTGCTCTAGATTTGAACAAATCATTATATCTGGTTGACAAAACTCTAATATACCTAAAGAGAAATTTTCTAATTTATATTTTCTCATTGCTCTAGTTATTACTATTTTCGTAGGTTTATCAGAATTTGCATGATAAAAATGACTAGTCATTCTTTTGGTTAAAGTAAGACTACTCCCTACATACAAATCTTTAGTGATATTATTAATAAATGTATATACACCTGCTTTTTTTCTTAATTCTTTATAAATATTTTTCTTGCAATTTTTAACATTTTCAAAGTAGAGAACAAAATCCTCAGGTTTTATGGTTGTACTTTCACCACCT